CCGACCCTTGGCCTGCTGCTCTGCTCTTCAGGCAAAGCAGCTCCTGCTTCCTGGGCCTGTTTACTTCCCAGAGGGGAGCCCCGCCCAGTCCCATGAAAGGCCCTCTGTTCTGACCTCCTGGGCCCTGGCTCCATCTCCCTGGCTCCCTTCCCTGGAAATGTCACATCTCCATCCCTGCCACCGCCCTGCCCCTAGGGCCTGGTGGGGTGGGGTGGGTGGGAGGGGAGGCTAAGCCTTCCTGCTTGCTTGGGGGAGCCACACATGAATGCCCAACATCCCCTGGAGGATGGGGTTGGATCCCCGCTTCCTGCCATGCTGGGGAGTCCTCAGCCTGCCAGGATGTGGTGAGCATGTGTCCTCCCTGTCCGGGGCCACCTGCCTGCACGATGCTGTGGCCCTCAGGGATGTCCTCCGGGACGCTGGCCTCGTAGCTGCTCTGCAGAAAGATGGGCCTGTTGTCGTTGACGTCAAGGACAGTGACGAACACGGTGGCTGTGCCGGTGCGCCGTTTGCCAACCGGGCCATTGTCTGTGGAGGGTAAATGGGGGTGGGGGTGGGAGTGTGTTAGCGCTGTCTGTAGGGCTCAGTCGGAGGGAGCCCCTCCTAGGCGCTGCCCTGCTTAGATTAGGGGCAGCAACACAACCGTCCAGGACCTGGATGGTTCCATGTGCCTGCCGGGCCCTGTTCTGACTTCGACGTCTCTACTGTGCCCTGTGTTGTGGGTGCGTTCACCAGCCCTGTTTCTCAGAGGAGGACACCGAGGCACAGTCCTGGGCGGCATGACAGCCCCCTGGAGCCGGAGAACGTGATTCCATTTGAAAAAAAGGGTCTTTGCGGATGTGAGTGAGGTGAGGGTCTTGCCGTGAGATCATTGTGGACCGGCCGGCCAGACCCTACATCAAGTGTAAGAGAAAAGCCCAGTGAGGAGTGAAAAGGGGAGGAGAGGCCCAGGGCAGGCCAAGGCAGAGCTGGGGTGCTGCTGCCATCAGCCAAGGGCACCAGACACTGGAGAAGCAAAGACGGATTCTCCCAGACTCCGTGGCCCTGTTGACCCCTGTTCAAACTCCTGGCCTCCAGGTCTAAGAGAGAGTGCAGGCTATACTTCGAAGGTGCCCAGAGGGTGGTCATTTGTTCCGGCAGCCCCGAGAAACGAACATAGGTGTCAGGGCTGGGTGGGTAAGGCTGTGGGGGGCCCCCTGGGAGTGCCTCCTGTGTGTCAGGGGCCCTGTCCTCTTCCTGGCAGCTGTGGGCCCGGGAGCACCGGGTCTCGGATAGAGTGATGGAACATTGGAATTCAAATAAAAGCTCCAGAGTCTTCAAAGTTCTCAATGGATTGGAATCACTGCAAAGGGTGGAGGCCAGCAGAAGGGCTGCTGGTGGATCTGGTGACTGGCCCCTGCCTCCGCCTCATGGGCCCTGCTGGACTTGAGGGAGTCTCCGGGCAGGGAGGGAGGGGAGACAAGAGCTGCATCTCCGGGCAGCAGGAGGACGGGGTTGGGCTTGGTGGTCCCTGCTTCTTTCCCAGGGCAGCTGGCCACATGTCAGGTGTGTTCCCCTCCCCAAGGGTAGGTCCTCTCGCCCTCCAGGACCACCGTCCTTAGGAGAAGACAGACTCTTCCCATAGCCTTGCTAGTCTGCCCCAGCTGGGGACAGGGTGAGCTCGGAGGCCCCACTGACGGCTGAGACTAAGTCCTCTCCACCTGCTAGTCCAAGCCTAAAGCAGAGGCTGGGCTCTGGGGAGGGGCAGGTGGCTGCAGGATGGAGAAGCGCAGGCAGGTGAGGAGGCCAGGGGGCTGGCGAGAGGGAGGCCAGGGCGCCTTCTCAGCAGGGGATGCCTCTTTGGGGCCCACCACAACCCCTGAAGGATGCAGGCCTCGCCACACCCCTCCCTTGCCCACTCCCCAAGCTCTCAAGGGCTCCCTGCTGCCCAGAAACCAAAGACCACTGTTCCAGCCCAGCATTCAGAATGACACAGTGTGGCTCCACCTGGCCACCCCCTCCCAGTGTGCACCACCTGAGAGCCAGCCACTGCCCATGCACACACTGCCTGCCCCTTCGCCTGCAGGTGAGGCCCCCCCACACCTCCCCACTGTGTTTTATTTTGGCCAAGAGTGGGTTGGCCTTCAAGGTCCCTGTTTGGGCCACTCGGCGCCATCCCACTGGGAGCACACTCCCTTATCCAGGTGCGGTGGGCCTGACTGCCCCCCGATCTGCAGGGCTGGGCAGGTGACTCAGCTTAGTTAACAGCATGTCTCCCAGCCAGTGAGAGGGAGGAGCTGAAGGAGGGGCACCAGGACTGACTGCAGCGAAGGACCACTCATCAGAGGGCTGGGAAAGGGAGGCTGGAGGTGGGGGCTGGCCCCACCAGGTACATGGGAGGATGCAGTTCACATGCAGGGCACGGAGCTGCACAAGAGATGGGAACCCCGTGGCCACCACCTGGCTGGGTACCTGTCGCACCTGGCTGGGTCTTGTGAGCTAGTATTACCGGAGCTAGTTTACTTAGGGTGACTCTTTTTATTTGCAACCTGAAGGCCCTGATCCCAGGGGTCTCTTTTAGGCAGCCTTCCTTGGCGGCCCCTCCTCCACATCCCCACCACTCTTGTGTCCTTCTGCTTTCTTAGGCAGTGACTTGGCTACACGCTGGCCTCCCCTTTGGCTCCATACAGCTCCCACCTCCCCATCTCATTGCCTCAAGGAGCCGCGTGTCTGAGGCCCAACCCCGATGTTGCTGAGCCCTGGCCGGCTGACAGGGGGCAGGGTTCTGCCATAGGCTCCAGGACCCCAGACAACCTGGGTGGCGGGAGCTGGGCGGGCAGAAGCGTACCTATAGCCTCTAGGATGAGCGTGTATGCAGCTGTGGTCTCTCGGTCCAGGCTCACCACTGTCCTCACGACAGCATCCCGGTAGCCAACACTGAACTTCCCATCCACGTTTCCGCCTGCGGGCCAGAGAGAAGGGAGTTTCAGGGGCCACCAAACTCTGCTCTGGGCTCCACGGCCCACCACCCTGCCTGGCCCCGGAGCTCTGGAGGGGGCACTTGTAAAGGTGCTGGCCCTTTGCTGGTCTGAGGTCAGGCTGCTGGAGGCCTGAAATGCTAACAGGGTGATTATTATTAGGATAGCACGTGCCTATTTCACTAGATCATGTGGGCTGTTCATTCAATGGTCACAGCAACCTAAGAGGTTTGTACTGTCACCCTTTCTACTCCACTCTCCAAAGTCATTGCGCTCTGAGCGGCTCCCGACTCCAAGAGAGCCTATGGACCCTATAGGACTGTGAGGAACTGCCACTGTGGGTGTCTGAGTCTGTCTACCTTTACAGGAGTAGAAAGTCCCGTCTGTCTCCCACAGAGCAGCTGGTGGGTTTGATCTGCTGATCTGGTGGTTATCAGTTTAGCCCACGACCCACTACATAACCAGGGAAAGCAAGCCGTGGAAGGAGGCACGTACAGCTGCTGCGCCGGGCAGCTGACTCACAGGTTGCAGGGCTGGGTGCACCCCAGGGCCCTTGAAAGAAAAGGCTGCAGACCTATTTCTGAGAACTCAGCCCTGGGAAGCCAGCGGAACGCAGCTCTAGCCCGACACACAGGAGGGCCCCACGGGCGAGAGGTCCGAGGCCCCGTTCACCGCCTGTGCTGCAGAACTGCGTGGACAGTTCACCTGGGCTTTCATCGGGGACTAAGGATTTGGGGGCCAGCAGAAGAGCAAGAGTCTGTCTCTGGGACTGGGGAGGGAGAGGGGCTGAGGACCACGGCTCTCTGGATTGGTAAGGGCTCAGGTTTCCCAAGCAGCAGGGCAGGTGAGACGTGTATGCGGTGAGCTTGGCTCCGGGTCAGCACTGTTCCCTGTAGGATCTACCCTCTGAGAACCCCGAGGCTGGGAGGGTCCTGAGAGGGTCTGCAGGAGCCCACCACTGCCAGGAAGCCATCCAGCCGAGCACTGCCATGTCCTTAGCTGGGAGAGAGGCCCAAACCACCAGGGTCTGTGCAAACCCTGTACCTCACAGAGATTCTGTGCAGGGTTTCCCCGAGAGCCTCATAGTTCTCCCTTGGAGCGGAGGGTGGGTTTGAACCACTGACCTTTCCATTAGTAGCCCAACACCTAATCCACAGAAGCACCAGGGTCCCCTCCCAGTGCCTGAATCAGTTTCCAGATGTGGGCGGAAGAGGAGGCAGGGCAGATCACGCTGGAGGCTGGACCATGAGGCTCCTTGTCACGCATGAAATCTTTGCTAGAATCTGAGCCTTGAGCATTAGGGAGGGCCAAGGAGATGGCCTGAGGGGGCTGTGTCCCTCTGGCAGGGAGGCAGGGAGGGGAAGACTCTGGAATGGAGGTGCTAAAGGCAGGCTGCTGACGGGCTGTGAGCCTGGCATTCTTTGCCCGCCCCCCCCCCCCAGAGAGACGCCGAGTGTGTGCACTGCATATATGTAAGCAGTCCCAGCTCACTTGTAGAGGGGAGGGAACAGGTCACGTGACCAAGGAGGGCTGAGCAATGTGGACGAACCCCGCTCACTCCACGTGCCCGGGAACTTTCGGGTCTGACAGGGATGAAAACTGGGATGGGGCGCAGGTGCAACCAGCGTGTCATCTCCTACCCCGCTTCATCTAGGCAGACATCACTAATCAATCAGGGCTGGCTCACCCCCATTCAGACAGCGCTAGAGTGGCGAGTTACTTAGTGCTTTTCAGTGAAAGTTTCTTTCTGGAGTGGTTTTGTGAAGCCAAAACCACCTGGCTCAGAGCAGAAGCAAATCCCCCTCCATCAGCCAGAGGCTCCCTGAGAAGGAGGGGGCCTGGTCCCCCAGCCACTGCTCTGGTGCTCTGCGTTGGGTGACATGGGCCTCACTCCTTCCCAGGAGCCTCTGGGTCCTGCTCCCTCTGAACTTTACCTGGCCAAGCCCGCCCCACCACCTGCAGGTCCAGGGCCCCCGGGCAGCCACGAGGCCAGGCCCCAGGGAGCCCGTTGCCACGCGCCAGGGGTAAGCCAAGAGCAAGTGCTCAGGCGGCATCCGTAGCAGGGAGCAGCATCCTTCCCAGCCTCGGTGGGCTGCACCCCAGCCTGGTTCGGCATCTGGAAGGGGAGCGGGGGCGGGGCTGAGAGGGGCGAGGGCAGACCTGTGATGAAGTAGCTGAGCTCGGCGTTGAGGCCCACGTCGTTGTCCGTGCAGTTCAGCCAGACCACGCGGAAGTCCCGGGGCACGTCCTCAGACACGGAGACGTTGTACATGGCCGGGGAGAAGGTGGGCGTCTCGTCATTCACGTCCAGCACTGTGGACACAGAGGGCGCTGGTGGAGCCAGGGCTGGCGTCTGCTCTGGATGACCCACCTCCAAAGGTCAAGTAGGAATGTGGATCCCAAGGGAGCCACAGCCTCCAAGGAGGCACTGGGTCAGCACCCCCTAGTCACGAACGGAGGTCCCTTGTGCCTTCTGGGGCCAGGCCAGAGCTGGCCAGGGTGCTACATTCCCTCTCCTCTGCCCTGCTTCCTGATGGCTCGCTGCTGCCTGCGCTGCCAAGCGAGATGGACCATCCCAGAGCCTGTCTCCGAATGAGCCTCACAAGGACAAGGACCACGACGATGACATTGACCATTTAGGACAGAGCAGTTCAGGGGCATGTGCAGTTCTCACACTGTGAACCCCATACCAAGCCCACTGCCATTGCAGGATTCTGACGCAGAGGGTCCCCAGCTGCCAGGCTTTCTAGGTGCAGATGGCCTCCCCTCTGCAGACCTTGCGTGGCCTAGAGACCACAGACATCCGACAGAGGGGATGGGAGCTCCGAGCAATAGAGTGACTTGGTGACTTGGCCGAAGCAGCAGAGGAGCAGGGCTGTGGTCCTGAGCAGGCGTGCCCCTGTTCCAGGTAGAGTCCCAGGAGGGGTCTGCGGGCCAGGCCCCTGTCTTTGAGGCTGGGGGTGGGGGGGGACCCCGTGACCTGATAGCAAAGTGCCGTCTCCTTTGGCAACTCCGTGATATTCATGTCTCGCCAGGAGATGGGATGAGGCCATTTGGTGAGGTGGCTTGTGTGGAGCCCTTGGGACCAAGTACCCTGTAGATGTCCTGGTCCTCCCTCCCTGGTGAAGAGGGGGTGTGGGGGGAGGTCAGATGCACAGGCATTCTCCCGCCCCCCCTGAGGGTGATCAGTTGCCAGACTGCACTGGGCCTGCTCCCTGCTGTTGGGGACAATGGACAGGCTCCTGTAGGTGGAGTTTTCACCCTACTGATAATGGTTCCTATGGAGACCCAGAGACCACCCCCTCATTGCTATGTAACCTATAGTGCAACTCCTCCCTGTGATGTATGTCTCTACCTGTAATTAGTAGGCTGGCATGCCCCCAAAAGGTATATAGGCGTGGGTCAGCAATATAGAGTTCTCTGATCTCTCTGACCCATCTCTCTGACCTCTCTCTCTGACTCCCCTCTCTTCCCCCGCTCTCTTGTTCCCTTGCCCTCCTTCCCTTCCCCCTCTCTCCACGTGGACCACCAAGCCAGGCTGAGGTGAGCAGTGCTACCATGTAAGGTGTCTAACTGTATTATTGTATCTCTCATGCTCCTGATGACTTTAATATAATGCTTATATATCTCAACCGTACAATTGTGCTTACTGAACCTGTGGGTAGTATTATGAGTAGTAGTAGCGGGTTGGGGCTGGCCCCTCACCCCTACCCATCGCCAATTAATTTAATATTACAAATGGCGCCCATCGCGTGGCAATGAGTTATATCCCATGTAACAATTGTACGGCCTCACCGGAATGCAGACGGAATTGGAAAATTGTGTGAAGTGAGGATCCGGTGTAGGGATTTGCAGATAAGTAGTAGAAATAGTGAATGAGTATTTTATAGAGAACAATGGGGCAAGGTAAAGTAAACCTGAAACTTATGGTACTAAGCTCATTTTCTTACTGAAAAGACAGGGTGTAAAAGTAATGAAGAAAAAGATGCAATGTTTTCTAAAAGTAGTAAAAAGGTATAATCCATGGTTCCCGGGGGAAGGAACTTTTGATATAGAGACCTGGGAGAAGGTCATTGTTAACTTAAAGGAAGCACACACAGATGGGGAGAGTATCCCCGTAGAGACATGATCTCTGTGGGTTCAAGTTAAGATGGTTTTAAAACTTTTGCAGGAGGAAGAGAGTGAGGATTATCAGTCTAGTGAGAAGTCTTGTGTGAGCCATCCAAATCTAGAAAAGCAAGCTAAAGTGTCTATGAATGAGCATGAATTACGCAATAAAATTTTAGGAGAAACTGAAAAGGCAGGGATTGATTTATTTTCTAGGCCTCTGATTCTAAAATAAACCTCACGGCCAAAGCCTATATGTCCTCGGGGGACTGCAGCCTCCAAAGGGTTAAAGGTGATAAAGTACGTGAGGCAGTGAATTCCAACACCCAAAGCGAGGCTATTAAGCAACCCCAGGAAGCTCCCTTGCTTTCAAATGTAGGGAAAGCAGAGAAACAGAACCAGCAGAGTAGTGAGGAATGTCTAAGATACCCAAGCTTAAATCGGGTGAGAAGCAGTCAGAATGGGTCTCAGGCAGATGAGAAGATTTTAGGCAGAACTGAAAAAACTAAAACTGAGTCAGATGGGGACATAGTGAAATCATCTGCTCCCCTGCTGGAATTTAGTGGAAGAAAGACCAGAGATTGTAAAACAATCAAGCAAGCCAGTGCTGGAGGTGGAGAGATTAGCTCCAAAGAAATGCAAACTAGGGGGGCTGACACAGAAGTAGCAGTCAGGGAAGTGCAACTTGGAAATATACAGGTTAAAAAGAGCAGCTCAGAGAACAGAAGCAAAGAGACGTATAGAAAAGCATCTTTACTTTCGAGAGTAGAAAGAGGGATTGCAGAAGAAGGAGATTTAGAATTTAGAATGTCTCATCCTGTTAGAGTTGTTAGTGGACAGCCTTATGGGAAACATCCACAAGGAATTCACAGTGCCTTTTCATTTAAGCTGCTAAAAGATCTCAAGCAAGCAGTCAATGAGTATGTCCCAGACTCACATTTTGTAATTAGCATGATAAAGGCTCTGGCAGGGTCCGAGAGCTGGACCCCTACAGACTGGAGAGGTTTAACGAAAATATGTCTTTCCTCTTCAGAATATTTGCAATATCTCATGCTGTGGAAGGAAGCAGTTCTGGTACTAGCATTCAGGAATGCTGAGGATGGGATAGCTATAGGAATTCATCAATTGCTAGGGGATGAGAAGTATATCACAGTTGAGTCTCAACTACAGTTTACTGAACAGACAATAGGACAGATACGTGAAGTTGGCATAAGGGCCGAGTTACATGGCTATAAGACAGCGGAATGATGAGCCTTATGCTGACTTTGTGTCCTGACTGGAAGATGCTATTTCCAAGTGTGTAAAGAATGTCCAGGCAATAAGAGACCTAGTGCATAAGCTATCTTATGATTTCTCTAATACACAGTGTAAAAATGCCTTGTGGCCCTACAGGGAAAAGGGCACCCTGCTAGATTATCTCAGGATATGCAGGAATGTAGAGACAGATGAATACAAAGCCGACCTCACGGCAGCTGCACTGGAAAATTATATCAGACCTAGAAAAAAGTGCTTCAGTTGTGGAAAGACCAGTCATCTTCAAAGAGAGTGTAAGAAAAGCAAACTGCGGCCTGAGCCAGAGCATGGGCCAGGGCCACCTAATTCGGGTGTAAAAGAACCTGATCTTTGCCCACGCTGTAGAAAGGGAACTCATTGGGCGAGTCAATGTCGTTCTAAATTCAACAATAAAGAACTGCCATTAGCAAAGAGTTCCCTGCGGGAAAATAAAGGAAGGAGCTTGATACAGGCCCTGCCTAGCAGAGCAAGCGAGGCTAGCAGAGCATGTGAGGCAAGGTGTCTGCCTGCCAGAGCAAAGATCTTAGAGAGAAACTGCAGGCATCAGCCAGTCTCACAGCAGGAGACCAGACCTAGCCAAACTTGCAGGACCCCAGCCTCTGTTATCGCTGCAGTTGGTTTTACTAACCAAAAGAAGGCTCAGAAGCCCTCACAGCAGCCTGTTAATTCTAAAACGCAGGAGCCTCTTATTAAAAGAGTAATAGAGTTTTTGTCAGGAAGATTTAACCTAAATAGCCAAGGAATTAAAATTGATACTAGAGTTGATCAGAGTTGCAAGGAAAAGCCTAAAGCTGTGATTAAATCAGAAATTATTAAGAGCGGTAATTGGGGTCCGCTACTTAAAAGAACTCTAGGATGTTTATTAGGAAAGTCCAACATAAATTCTCATGGTGTTGGTGGAATTAGTGACCAGGGTTATGAAGAAATTAAGGCAATAATAAATTCTAATATACCATGGTTTATAAAGGAAGATCGCTTAAGCCAATTTTTGCTTCCCTGCATCTGTAGAAACGTAAGCCTATCTGGAAAGAGTACTTAAGTCTGACCACCCTTTAAATGAAGGGGTCTTTTGGAAACAACAGTGCCCCCACATGGAGTTAGAAATGGAAGGGAAAAGGTTTTTAAGCTCTAGATATGGGGACATTTCCTTAGGGCATTCAGGTGGGCCTAAGACCCTCCTATTAATTTCCCCTAAAGCCAGTATGGAGGGAATGAGTGAAGTTAACCAAGAGAGACTATTGCAAGATTGTAAAATCATACAGTGTAAGAATCCTGAAGGGCAAAGCGGCTTAATTGAGCCTGTAACCATACTGGTAAACTTGGAGAAAAAATGTCTGTTTGGTAAGTCACTTCAAGAACAGCTGAACAAATTTATTAAGAAATTTTTCAGTCATTCAAAGTATTTTAAGAAGTTCTCACAAGGTATCTCTCTTAATTCTCTGAGAAATGGCAGCCAGTATTTGCATAACAATGGAGGCTCCGTAACTAGTCTTTATACTGGGTCAAAGCCTAGCAAGTTAGCTGAGTTTGCTAGCAGTGCTTTGAAATCTAAATTGTTAAAACAGAAGGGGGAGAAGAGGAATCTTATGTATGACGAATTTCATTTGGTCAATTTAACCAAAACATTTCTCTCCTTACTAAAAGCTTGTAAAAAAAATTAGGACAGATAAACACATTTTCAATTCTACAGAGAAACCTGATCCTAAGAAATCCCAAGATGATGGAAATCGTGTTTGGGATCCAGGTCCATTTACCTGGAGAAAGGGCTATGCATTTATATTTTTGCAGAATAAAGCTGATGGACTCCCTTTAGAAGGACGCAACCACGTTTGGAGAAAGATGGACAAGGAAGAGATGGAGAAGCCACCCAATCTTAACCATAATTCCTTTTGCAGGTTAATGACACCCCGAAGAGAGGGGCTATTTGTTTATATTTTCACAGGCAAAGGAGATAGGTGGATTTCTCTTCAGCCAGCAAGGCCCATAAGAAAGGAGGGATGCTGATGCTGTGACGTGACCCCGTCCTGTTATTGAAGTTACCCAAAACGTCAAGAAGACCTCGCAGATGCCTGAGAATGGCGATCGCTGTCAGCTGAGATATTTCTTCCATTGCGGATGACCTCTAAGAGACACTCTGGGACTCTATGATAACTGAACATTTTATACAATAATGACTGGACTACCACTACAGATTGTTGTGTTGCTGAAAGATCAAGATTTTGGACTTGTTAATTAATGCTATAATGTGATTGGAATGTAACTGATTTCTGTGTAACTCCTTACCTATATAATGTAACGTTGCATGATTGGGATTTGATTAGGAAACATTTGCAAGGGTTTAAGGGAAATGTTTCATTAGAAGTTGATCAGCTTAAGAAGGATATTTTCTATACATTCAAAGACAAGCTGGAGGCATCTCCTGGCTCTGATGTGATAAAGCAACTGGTGGATGGCATGGAAGGATTAGATCCTCATGCTTGGGCTCAAAGTATCTCACATAGTTTAAGTGCTAGTCTGACTGTTGTTTATCATCATAATTTTGATGCTCGCAGTCTCATGTTGCTTCTATAGGAAGCTAAGAGATATGAAGAGAGATCATGTTGCCTCCGTGACACTATTAAATCTTAAATGTAATGCAGAAAGGGGAAACGTGGGATACTAGCACTAAAGGAAATAAAACTGGGACTTAATCCCTGACGTGTACCGAGGGAATCTGGAAATCCAGTGTTCCATGGAAAGGAAAGCCACCACTCTGGAGGTTAGAGATGGAGTCCAAGTATATTTTCCTGCGGTAATCTAATTTTTTCCACAGTTTCTCCCTCTTATACTGTGCTGCCTTAAAATGAGCACATGGTTGATTCATTCTCCCTATAGAAGCAGACATTCCTATTTGGCTCCATTTCTTCCCGCCCTGGTATCCAATCTCTCATACCTTCCTCCAATAGAATATGGGCATAAGGGGACTTTGACCCCAATGCCTGGATTCAAAATGTTTTGCTATAAGCCTGCATTTTTGTCTAAATTAATTGAATCATGAAGTTTTGCCTTGACAGCCTTTAATGTATAGAAAACCAGGCTGCCTATGCAGCTTTTGAATTTTATATATAAAACAAAAGGGGGACTTGTGGGGGGAGGTCAGATGCACAGGCATTCCCCCCACTGAGGGTGGTCAGTTGCCAGACTGCACTGGGCCTGCTCCCTGCTGTTGGGGACAATGGACAGGCTCCTGTAGGTGGAGTTTTCACCCTACTGATATTGGTTCCTATGGAGACCCAGAGACCATCCCCCTAGACCACTCCCTCATTTCTGTGTAACCTATAGTGCAGCCCCTCCCTGTGATGTATGTCTCTACCTGTAATTAGTGGGCTGGCATGCCCCCAAAAGGTATATAGGCGTGGGTCAGCAATATAGAGCCCTCTGATCTCTCTGACCCATCTCTCTGACCTCTCTCTCTGGCTCCCTTCTCTTCCCCCTCTCCCTTGTTCCCTTCCCCTCCTTCCCTTCCCCCTCTCTCCACGTGGACCACCAAGCCAGGCTGAGGTGAGCAATGCTACCATGTAAGGTGTCTAACTGCATTATTGCATCTCTCATGCTCCCGATGACTTTAATATAATGCTTATATATCTGAACCGTACAATTGTGCTTACTGAACCCGTGGGTAGTATTATGAGTAGTAGTAGCGGGTGGGGGCAGGCACCTAACCCCCCACCCCCCTTCACAATTTAACTTAATACTACAAGGGGGGCTCTCAGCTGGTCCCAGACCACCAGGAGAGGAAACATAGGTCTCTCTCGTCCTCGCCTCCATGGGTCTCTACTCTGAGGGACACGGAGCTTGTATCTGTGCTGGGGCGACTCCCGCCCTCTGGTTTGGGGCGGGGCTGACCTGGGAACAAGCCGCAGCTTCCCTGTGGAAGAGCCTTAGTCCTGCTCTGCAGCCTCAGCTCCACCAGTGCGCCAGGGGGGTCTCAAGAGTTAAAGACACTCCCTGGGGTGGCGAGAAAGACTGCCCCTTACCTGCCCTCAACTAGTGGGGGGGGTGCTGTGGGGGTGCCCCGAGGGGGTGAGCTGCCCCAGGGTGTCTGTGCACCCTACCTGCCTCTTCCCAGGGGGAAGCTCCTCCACCCACCACCCTGTCATCACACAGCCTCCATGCA